TGTTATTAATAAAGAGGATAACTTTTTAAATGCAAAATTGAAATAACGACACGACAAAATTGGAATACATATGTATAGAGGTAGATTCACAAATGCATGCGAATACGTCAGAGGGTAAATCTAAGCGAAAAAATGATATACGAATATATAGCATGGTCTGGTTTAACTGGAAACTCTCAAATATCTGGAAAAGTACGAATGATACGAAAAAATATTTGAGACAAAAAATGTATGGTACCGAGGGGGGCACACTGTGTTTTTATCTATTCAACCTTGCGATCTTGAAACGTCCTGTAAAGGTGACATTAACATTTTTTAATGGGTACCTCCAATTTTTATTACATATTCTTGTAGCCGACATTCAAACGTTTTTGATATACTACAAACTTGTGTCTTTTGCATCATCCGCCATAGAGATATAAATTTTAAAATTCAATGTGCCGCCGGCATTAGCGTTACCCGATGTACACCGCAGTAACACAGAAAAATGTGTCTGATAGTGGCGCTACTAGTATGACATTGTCGGAACACCAAGTCATAATTTTCCAATGTTCCATAACTTTCCAAAATAAATCATCAGTTTCGTGCTACATTTAGTAGTAAATTCAGTTTTTTGTATTTATCCGTCGAATCAGAAAGCTCGCATCTCGATTCCGAATAATGCAAGAGACACACGTTTGTTGCGTTTTGAAAACATCTAGAAGAATGTGTAACAAAGAGTGGAGTATCCATTAAAAAATTTTCATCTCATCTTTATAGAACTTTTCAAGACCACCGCGAGATCTAATAGATAAAAACAGAATATGTCCCCCTCAATACCATACAACTTCTGTCTGAAACATTTTTTCGTATCAATCGTTTTTTTCCAGATATTTAGGCACTTCCAGTTAAAGCAGGCATATTATATGTCTTATATATATTACATTATATATGATACTTTAGTTTTCGAGTTATGCATAATGAAAGAAAATTTTCAAAATTCTCGCCTCTTGCAACACGCTACTACGTGCCTTGGTGCGTTCTGAGCTTATCTAATGTTTACGAACGATATCCATCGATATAAAGTAGACGAAACTTTGGCCAGTTACTTAACCTGTTACTCTTGCGAATTCAGTATTAGATTTGGAGCTATTCGAAGTATACCTACTACATATTTTCATACAACTATGTCATACATATATGAGTATGGAACTTAGAGTTAAGACGTGCAGTATCGTGTAAGAGTTATCTATATATACGTACAAAATAAATGTATTATGTACAAGATGTTATTATAAAAATTTAATATACTTAATTGTCATAAATTTTAATTAAAAACATTATGATCAAAAATATATAATTCAGCAAAGACCTATAAAATATATACATTTACTTTTTATCACAAATTTTTTATAAATATATCGGAAATAATTGATTCGAAACATATACTGTATAGTAATTGAGAGAATAGTAGAAAATGAAAAAACAAAAATACAATTTTTGTATTTACCAGCCGCAGTCGGTAGGACTCGAACCTACGCTCCCAGAGGGAATCTGATTTCTAGTCAGACGCCTTAACCACTCGGCCACGACTGCCACGGTTTTCACATGCTATTATTATAGTATAAATAGAATAGAACATAAAGATAGTATAATTCTAAAACCAAAAGAATGGTTATATACTATTATAACATTTATTCTACTTGGTAACTAGATGAAAATCTCTATTAAACTATTGTATATAAATAGGAATGCATCTACGAATCATAACAGAATAATGCAGAAGTTCCACATAATTAAAGATTTGTCTAATCCAAAAGATACGTTCATTGTGTACAAAACATTAAAATCATCATGAAACAATAAATAAGGCGAGTTGTAGTTTACAATATACAAATGTTGTTGACAAATTGAAACTTGAGAGATAAAACTTACTCAACAATGATGTTCTTTCGTCGATACTTCCTCTATTGTACGACATTTTTGCATAATCGATATCAGTACTATATCAAAACTAACAGCTTCGACAGAAAATAATGTGTAATGTGTAATCTAACGAAACTGGTAACGTCGATAAAACAGAACATGATAATTATTAAGTACGATTCTTGATAGACCATTATCATTTCAAAACATGTGTGCAATGTCATGAACATTGCACATAATATAACAGATTCATCTATTCTACAATATGAAAAATTGAAAATTAAAAATTATAATTTTAAGTATCAAACGACATATTACAAAACCAATTTTTTCGGATTATAGAAAATAAAAAATGTTAACCTCAGTATTGATAAACGTTGATTTATTAAAAATTCTAATCTTACAGTATCATATTTATTCCTATTAATTAAAAATAAATGATGTCTATAATTGTAAGTATTTTTGAATATTTCAATCATTTCAAACCTATAACGTAAAGGATTAAAACACAGTTTTCCACGATAAGAAGAAACAAATTTTTTTCGTTACGTAGATTAAAAATAGAAAAAAATTTGAATTAATGGTAATTGACAACTTCTTCAGAAACATAGAATGAAGATTATATCACTACTAAATACTCAAATAAATCTGATCTTGACAGGAGGCTACAAATGATCACAGTTCCTATTGTTTATCGATTCAATAGCCTTGATCAATGCGATATCTTTGCTTGCAACAATTTGCAAAATAATTGTCTCGAGAAGTTTTTCAACAAGCGCACAAGAAGGCACGCATTTCGTCCTTGAAATAATTAACTATGATTCGTGCATGGTGTACCATTATATTACTTATTTCATGTTCGAAAATTTAGAACGTATTTATTAAATTCAGACATAAATAAATTTATTCAGAATAAAGAGCCCATGCACGAGACATTTTGAATAAATAATTGAATAGAGTAAATAAATAATGGAATACCTTTAAACAGAAATTAGAATATTCATTCTTTTTATAGCACTTTATTTGCAATATATATATATTCTTATTTATAATTTATAGCCTTATAATTACCGTCAAAAATCGCATAAATTAACTTATTCCTATCAAATGACGAATTTATACCCATTCAATTACTCACTCGTACACGTGTCTGCACTCTACAATATATCAAAGGTGATTGCGTTCTAAGGAAACAATGAATTTCACTTTGATGGACTTCTTACTAAGAAATTATACAAACTGCACTATGACTCAGCGTGCAAACTTTTTGTAGCGTAAAATGGACAATACTATAAAAAATATGACTCAATAAATTAATACATAATTTATACGTATAAATAAACGAGAAAAATTATATTTTATCATCTCTACTATTGAATACTACTTACCTCGCTATTTGCTAGTGAAAAATGACATACACTAGTTGATTTTATTACTTAATATGTTTCTGCGAACTACCAGTGTCATGCTTCATCAAACAAGTAGATCGTTGCTCGCATGATAATTTATAATATACAATTATCTACTCCGGTAATACACAAGCCTAATGCAGTCACTTGCACTAAGGAAAATCCATTGAATGTGATTGTTTCTTATGATATGAAGACGTAATGAATAATGCATACGACTAGGGGGTGTCTTGCTAATTACACATTAGCAAACTAATTTACCGTGTACATTTTACACACGTATTCATTATCTCACTTTGTTTTCAATTCTATTGACGTCAAATCTCGGTGGTCTATTCGAACACCGATATTGAACATGCTGGAACGACTCCACAAAAAAATTCATGATCGAACATGAAGCACATTCCTCAGTTACATAATTGATTGTGTAACGGCGAGAAGCCATCGACGGTAATACAGGTAATACCTCTATTCGAAGAGGATATTTAAAAACTAAACAAATAAATTTGGTTTTACCGGTTCGTCAATTATAAAAATTTATTCCATTGCATAAACTTGTTTAATACAATCTTGGTTAAATTCGTGGTTAGATATACGTGCTTAATATCTTGTATTATATTGTAAATCCATTATTTTATATCATATTTGAAGAGGAAGGGAGAAAATGTGCACAAATATACATAAGTACTACGTAGTTTTCGAATAAATATATCTTCCTTCATTTGAGCTAATTAACATGTATGTAATAAACATACATTTATAAATTCAATACTCGTACTCTACAATATATGTAGAAGCGGATTTTAGGGATTTTGATGAATACATTATACTTGTTGAAAAATCATTAAACACTGTCTATAAAGTAATAATAAATTGGAATATATATAAATAATGGAAAATATTTTATTAAACAAACAATCTACGTACTGACTTCAAACTAAACTAAGCTTTCAAATATGCTATTTTAATAAAATTAGTTCCAATATCATAATTTGATAACAATGTGTTGATAAGTAATAAAATTTTACTTCCTTTTTTTTTAGTACTTCGATTCATTAAAGCGTCGTAAAATTTTTTTAGGTATTTGTAACGAAAAGTCATTAATCACTATTTCTCAAATAATAATAATAAATTAATACATATACAATAGAATTTCATCTAACTAGACTCCATTCATTTAAACAAAATTTTAGTTAATGTTAACTAAATTTTGTATAACAGAAATTTCGCTATTTGAATTCGCTTGCTTAAACGCAAGCTCCTATTGTATGAACCAAAAATAGTAAATAATGGAAAACATAATGTAAGCTCTTATTTTATGAATTCCAGTTATATAAAATATAAACTCTTCGGTCCCCGACAAATTCAGATACATGGAATTCTGTTGTAAGTAATAGAAAATAATTTTCAAATACGTACCAGCAAACAAATGATCCATGTAGTTACTTAAAATTAAACTGCTTTTTAATTAAATATCTGATTCTGTATTTGTTTCAATAAAATTCATGTATTCAACATTACAATTTAATAATAACGTATTACATACATAATAAAATTTTACTTTAAATAAATACTACATATAAATGTATTTTAAATATACATACATTCTGAATTTCTACTGCTGCACTTTTCTTTTTATATCGAGTTCAACAAACTTCTGACTCTCGGACATTAAAGAGTCGTCAATTTTTTTAGCAACTTTCTCCAATTGTACATACCTTATGAACTAGAATGTTTTGCAAAGTAACAAAAAGCGAATCGACGAGGATGGGATTCGAACCCACGCGTGCAGAGCACATTGGATTAGCAGTCCAACGCCTTAACCACTCGGCCACCTCGTCCGATGTGAACCCGTGTTTTAGCGAATATATTTCGATGTCATCTGTTCCTAAAATAAATCTAGCATGTATTATATTATATAATTTATACATCATACCGTTATCCTTGTTCCTGACATCATCCAAATATTCTTAACTCCAGATGGCAGTCATTAATATTCATCAACAGCATTTGTACGATTCCATCATTCCGATTTAATGAACAAGAATATTCGAGGCAAACGAGTAGACTAGCACCGCCAACATTACACGAATCTAGAACACAATTTGTTAATTAGGCAATGAATGCAATTTATCTGATAGAAATTGAAGTCCTTCATTTGCTATTTAATTTATATCCATATTTAGTAAGTATCTGTTTCGTACATTTTTATAACCATTGACATATCGTATTTTAAATATGACAATTATAAATAATCTGTATATCTATCATAATAATTTAAGCTATCAATATAATCTGTTAATTACGTAATGAACACAATCTATCTGATAAAATTTGCAATCTCCGTATTATATCAACCAGTAATACATGTATTGGCCTCTCACACTTCTCTAAACATAAACGTATCATATTTTAAATATAGCAATTATAAATAATATATTCAATTTAGAATAATAATAACATTTAGCTTAATACCGGTGTGATTAAATTGTTACAACAATATTGGTCTTTTAAGTAAACTGCAGCAGCACCTAGGTTACCAGAGGACTAATTAGAAGAAAAATTAATTCTTGCAACATCAATTAATGTAAAATTTAGGCATGATTCCTTGTAGCAAAGATTACAATAGAAGAATAGGAACTGAAAGGAATCGTTACAATTTTATTCAAAGTTATTCGATTATCCGAATAGTGTGTATCGTGATTCGTTCGGATAACGAAGATTCTACTGCATTAAAATACACGCAAAGTATAAAGAGCAAATTGCCTATAGTTCTCGATCTCAGAAACACGGGTATAGCACCAAAGCTGGATTATATAACTTAATCAGCAATTCAGAGAAGGTGGAAAGAAAGGAAAACATAGTGGGGCGTGTGGAAAATGCTTCTGGAATAACGGAGGTGGGCATTAACGTGTTTTATAAGAATTTATAAGGAATGCAAATAATTGTCAACTTGAAACAATGCACGTTCGATCATAGATAACGAAGAGTCACGTGCATTGAATTTATCTGTTCACATCACCATTCGAAAGTACATGGACAGTTATCTCTGATAAAATCTAATGTAGTTTGATTTTACACTTTATTGAACAGCTGTAGAGCATTATAACACAAAATATATTCATAAATGTTAATATTCAGTAGTAAAATTGGCGTTATAAAGCAATTTTATCATTTAAGGAGCTTCTTATTGAAGGAATTCGTGTACCAAGCTATAGATAAGATAGAAAAAATTTTTCAAATTGATAGATAGAATATCGTGATTAGTTCAAGCAACGGTATTTAAAAGTATTTAAAAGTATTTAATTTTAATATACCATTGATAAGATTTTATATTTCGTATAATATACACCACGGCTTATAAGTATCCGGGCATTTTTGCCAATTTGTAATAACACTAGGTACCTATATAAATTTTATCGAAATGTTCAAATCGATGATGAATTATAAATTAAAAGCAACATTTACTATCTTTTCCCGAAATAATCAGGCTATAAATATAAATTAACTATAAAATAAATATGGTAATAATATACATACGTCTGTACTTATCTGTACTTATTATACATATACATTACTATTTATATACGTTTCCTATTTAAATATCGCTGTTTATATTAATATTGGATATTTTATAATTAAAAAATTGGAGAATAGACAAATAATCGTCAAGTAATAATTCTATAAGATTTAACAATAGTTTTATTACTCGGTATTGCCTGTAAAAACACGAATTTAATCGAGTGATAATATACTATTATGCACAGCTATGATTATTGCCGTTCATCCTATTTTATACCTAAACTAACTTATCTTCTTAGAAATAAGGAAATGTTCGGATATTTTTTAATGTTAGTATGTACGTATCTGTCGATTCTACAAGAAGATATATAGATAGATAAATTGTCATTAATTGGCATATTTTTGCAAACATTTATATATTATTAATATAAATTGACCAATCGTATCGTCCACAAATTTCTGAACGAGGTTCGGGCGAAAAATTAGGTAGTCTTTAAATCACATAATTATCTCTCAAGTCAACGCACTTCATTTCCATGAACTTCAAGTTTTAGCGAAACGGTTTCTAACCAATCTTCGAATAATATTATTCGTGTCCTTACAAGAATCGTTAAGTTTAACTGTTCTTCTAAAACTGACATATCGACGTATTTAGCACATTAAACAACGTTACAATCGTCTTTCACGCATTTCACATAGTTCCTTTATTACGTGAAACGAATAAGTACTATTTCATATGTTCATAAGAAAAGCAAATGACTAATGAAAACGACACATTATATTATTATTCAAGATATATTACCGTGATTCGAGCAAGTATTAGTTAACTAAATGGAAAACGACAAAAGTAACCGTAACTTAAAGGAAATGTATGCTGACGTTGTAATCTTGACGTCCTCGGTGGTAGCAAATTAAAATTGCAGGAACTGGTAATTGTAATGAAATCTACGCAACCCGAATAAACTGCACTGCGCATTCGTTATAAGTATTCATAAGCAGTTAAATTATTCAGTATTACACTTGAATGCGCTTTTAAAGTTACTCTTTTCCACAATTAAACACTTTCATTTTTATTTCTTTTCCTTATTGCAGAGACTGATAAACAAAAAGTAATTAATAATATAAATATGTTATTAAGCCAGTTTAATATTTAATTGTATTCACATTGTTATCGAAAATGAAAGAAAAGGAGTTTTGTTATTATTTTATTGATTCTTTTATTGAAACAAAAATTTGACACTTTGAAATATATACTTATTTTCTTTCCTCATATTATTGATAGTACGATATACATACAAATATAATAAAATATAATTAAAGTATATACAAGTAAGATAATATGAGAATTATTTTTCAAACTTAATTTGAAATATCCTTTAAAATTTCATCTGTCCATTTTATTTTATTTTAATCAAATTAAAATTTAATCACTTAGAAACCAAACTTAACAACCGAAAAATGTGAATTTTTCATTATTCAGATAATTTGAAGGCAATCATATAATTGAATAATATATAATAATATATTTAAGTATAATATACATAATAATATATATAATACGTATTATTATAATATATATAGTTTCGTATTATAAAAATAATATCATCGGCGACGTCTGGTCATTCATTTTAAAATCAGTCATGTTATATTACGTAATTTATCAAGGGCAATCCACGACTATTAAAATAGGGTTACCGATAATGACAGAACTTACACGAACAATCGGTCAAACGATTTCGTTTATCAACGAATTAATTGGTTTCCAATGATAATTTTTTATTGCAAACACTCAATAATATCCGTGCTTTTAGCTCTTTAAAAAAACCGATTACGATAAAGTACTAACTACGAACATAAGGTTAACGTATGGAATGTCCGTTACGACAAAATTTATAGTCACTTGAAACATAGACAGTACGGTAAAAAATAGATTATCTCTCGAAATTTACCAACATTTCAGAGGATGCAATTATCGAAGATGATAATTGCATATAAATAATTGAAGGTACGCGCGCGCGTGTGTGTATATATAATAATAGAAGAATGATACGCAGGTAAACCATTCTGCGAACTTTTCCATTGTTTCATTGAAGAAACTCTTTCTGGGATTTCAAAACGTAACGTGGTTTACCGATTGCCTTAACTTTAGGGTAATTCCAATGTACAGGAAGAAAGGAATTTTATTTTTGCATCGTGGACATACCACAAATGACGTAAAAATGAATTACCGATATTGTAACATATTCTTTTTTCCTCTATTACAGTAAATCCCATTCTAGATCGAAGGTCCATCAAGAACTACACGTTTCAACGGAACAAAGTTCTTCTCTATAGGAAAAACGTGCCAGGCACAATAAAGCCGGATGTTAACTCCCAGGGAACCGAATCCAATGCAACTGGTAAATCGTAAATGACGTTTCTTTTTTTCCCATTCCGTTCGATTCGATTTGCAACGTGCTTTGAACGACGATATTATTTACTGGCTTGATTACGCTAACAATAGGTATGAATTCACATGAATTCCATTTGTGGCAAATATGCGCCACTACGTCTGCTTGTGATGTAAGAGAACGGAAACAAAATGCAAGATAGCAAGCAGACACGTAGAAAAGATCTCTCGAACTCATAAAGAAGGCAACTGAGCTTATCCTTAATGATCCACGCGACTACTGATCGTGTTATGTAACGTTATAACTGGTAGACAGTAATTAATATTATCACGGTAAAAGAATTTTTTAGAAGATCACACTTTCATTAGCGGTAGATTTTAATAACAAAAGACCATAACAGTTTCTGTATGTCATGCTTTGTCGTCTTTATTCATATCTCTAAATGTTTACGAATTCCTACCAAGTTAAAGTTAGTGTTTTTTATTTTTTCTTTTTTTTATCATCCTTTCTCAAAATTCTTTAAATTTCATTCGTTAGAAGAATATAGTTTATAATACTATATATAATCTTCGTGAATAATATTTATTAATTATTAAGAACAACAGATACAATAAGTAATGGATTGCATAATGTATTATATATCTAATACATTGGGAAATATTGCTCAATAACTGTTGGTAATTCAGAACGTATAAGTAGCATCCAAATTATTGATTGCATCATAAAGATCGAGTGAGCAATTTGAATTGAATGATACAATAAATCGATATAATGTAACGTTAAAAAACATAGAAGAGAAATATAACTATTTGCGAAAGTTAAGTTTTCAAACAATTTTACTTAAGTCTTTCATTCAATCAATTAAAATGTCTGTCATATTTATATAGTATTGAAATGTTTCCTTTTATTTTCTTAATCTTTTGCTGTAGTGATAGAAATGATATACCTATTTAAAATAATTGATTCATATAAAAATATACATATTTGTAAGGTGCGAATAATACACTACTATATTTTCTTAAACAATATCTATATTCATCTTTCATTAGCTTGAGGAGACTCTTTTTTTCTGAAGAAACAGATTGTTGACATAAAAAGCGCTTCTATCGTGTAGTTCAGGAACTGTGTAGTACAGGATTTAGTATACAAACCTAATTCATAATAGTCTTTTATGTATCTTCTAGATACCTAGAACTTTAAATGCAACTTATTAATAGATTGGTAACTTTATTAGAAAATGAATGATCCATGTCAACAGTATGCCAATATATCTTTTTACAATACTCAATACTTATATAATTATTAAGATTTAGAAGTTAATATTTACAACAATAGAGTTGATAAATTTTACTAGAATTCATACAAAGAACAAAAATAAACTTGTTAAATTTTCTATCTTTTTCTGTATTTGGCTGTCTATAACATATTAAATCTACAATATACTTTAATAGATATAGCAATACAAAGTTAACTACATTATGCGCTAATGACGCTCGAAAACACATCTCCAAATACAATCTATTTACAAGTAATGTGAATCTTGTTTAGGAAATTCGAACGTCATATTTTCAGCCCGCTGATTAAGAGATGTCATCATCCGATTGAATTTCTAATTTGTTTCTTATTCTTTGTTGCAATAACGATTTTAAAATCGTTAGAACGATCTAATAATCTTGCTTAACCTTAACAAGCAGAGATTGGATGATTGATATCAATTTCAAATTAAAGAGATTCGTAACATGTGTATACACATAGAAACTACAAATTCCGACAATAATATCTTTTTTACGATTTGCACCTATTTTTGGTAATAGTTAAATTTAAATTTGATAAATTGATATATGCTAATATTTATATTTAAAAAATGCCATATTTTAAGATTCCAACGTTATAAAGTTACTATAAAAAGATATTTAAACCTGTTTTTAATAAAACTGAAATCATAAAAAGCTTAAATTGTATTACTAATTATATTGGAAAAAATATGTTCCAAGATCTTCACAATGTAAATTCATTATAAAAATAAAATAAAATTTGAACAGCTGAAATTCCATTGCCAAACAAAGATTTGTTTTAGTATTATACGACAGAGCATTAACATAACTGGAAATTTTATCACTAAACGTATTTTATAACCTAGATCAAAGAAAAGTCTTATCATATGGAACAAAAGTCTATCCGTTTTTATCCCTTCCTAAACCCTTTCACCTAAATTATTTAAACATCATATAATTCCCAGATCACGCGTGTCGACAAATGTTAAACTATTAATTCAAAATGACTATTCAACAAAGAGAGAAAAGCAGAAAAAGTTGTACGAAACAAATACCTGAAGCGAGTCGAACAGGTTTCATTACGTTGGAGTTCGTACCACATGTTACGTTAGAGAAACGAATATACTCACCGAAGGCTTTTTGTAAGGAAAGTGTTCAGTCGAGTCGAGTTATTTACATTTTTTAACAAGATATTGGTGGGTTTCCGGGGATTTACGCCGGCCATCTCTTTCCTCATTTTCATCGCGTTTCAACGCACGGTACCGTGTAGCGTGTAGTACAGTGACCAACGTGTAGCGTGGACTGACTCAGAAGCACGTGACGATGTTTTAGGAGAGATGGGTATTAATGCGCAGACGCATCAGCGCACCGCGCAAAGGCGAATTCTCGGCTGTCAAGTTTCAGCTCAGGTGAGCGTTCCCCTCAGAGACACACGGTTTACAACGTTCGAACGTTTATAAAGATTTCTGTTCGATTCGCATCGAACCACATCGACCAATTCAGCGAAAACATACCAGTGTTACTTTCTCGATCAAACGGTAACCTAAATTTTTCACGGAACGCGCAGCTCTTTTACCTATTTACTTCTGTTAATAATCTGAAACGAATTCTTCGAGCGTTTCTTATACGGTGACGATCGCACGTGGTGAAAATTTCTCGCTGAATTTCTCGCGATCGTAGCGTTCAGTTTTTGCGTGGAAGCTGTAGAACTGTGCACGGAAACACATTTGACGCGACGCCAGTGAACTCTTCGCGAGTATTCTCGGAAAAGAAGAGAAAAAAGAAACAGAACGATCGTGGCGTTCGCAGGGAAAACAACACGCCAGTGGACACGCTACTGGTCATGATGGCTTTAGGAATTACAATTACCGTGGTTCACTGTTGGCTGTGATGTGACATTGATGCAAGGTATTTATGTATGCGAGATTAGCATGGTGTTTCTATTTTCAATCGATGATATCGTGTACGACCATAGGATCGAAAACTACGAGAAAGTAGAATGGGTTAATGTTAAATGAAGTTTATAATAGCTTGTAGGATGGCTTCGAACGGATATCAACGGATTTTAGGACGTGTAATAAAATTAAGAAACAAAGAATCGTTAGTGCACGAGACTCCGAAATATCAATTCTAATGGAAATTGTTTTTAATTTTTTTACAGAAAAGACTATTTATTTTATTTATTATATATTCTTATACTGCGAATTTTTATGAACTTGAAATGAACGTGAAATTTAATAATACAAAAATGTACAAAATGCATACATATATGTAATATACGAAAATATATGAAACGTTCAGAAAAGGGTATACGTTATGATAATTTTTAATACTACTTATGTTCTATTTCGTTAGTTATGTCTATAAAAATATAAATTTGCATAAAAATTCGTAATCTAGATATTTTATATCAGAAATGGTATATAACGATGATATCATAATATAAAATATCTCCATGAAAATAAAATTGAATAGCAAGCAATGAAAGCAAAAGAATTATAAGAATAAAAATAAAAAGTATAATAGAAATAACAAATAACAGATAGAACAGACATGATAAATAATGCAAGGAAGAAATATAACAAATTTTTTTAACGTTTTAGCTCCTTAAATAATTTATATTATATATATTTGCCACAATATATCCAATAATATATAATAAATAAATCTAGTGTAAATCTAGTGTATATAAATATATAAGTTTACTAATATATGAAAATGATTAATTTAAGTTTAAACAGATTTTGAACGAACGTAGAAGGAAAAGATTATAAAAGGCATATGTCTCTTCTTTGAGGTAAATTACATATTCTGAAAGTTTAGACAGAATTGAATTAATTATCGTGGTAATAATTCCATGAGAACTATTTTACTTGCTATCTATAGAATTATATTATATGCTTGTGTAATATCCATATTGAACGTGTTGATTTTTATACCAATTATTACTATAACTTACATAAGTCATTTCTTATAAATTATATATTATAATTCACGTAAATTGATATTGAAAGAAGCAAAAATGTATTATTGTTTAGTGTAATAAGGAACAAATAGCAAAATAATGCGTAAAAATTATATGAACTGAATGTTATTAAAATACACAAATAAAACAAATTGCATATTGTTTTACCGAAGTACAGGTAATACATTATAATAATAGGTATACTACTTGAAATTACTTCACAAGATAAAACACACAAATAACAATTTCCATGAATTAAAAATACCACAAATGTCTCAGTTCCTTCACATTCTTACAGATAATAACTAAATACATATGGAACTAATCCTTGAAATTTCATTCGTAAACACAATGTTTAAAAACAGTATTTAGCAACACAAATTTATTAAAATAGATAAAAAATGTAACTAAGATATTATGCATCTAACTAAGATAAAATGTAACTAATATATATACTACGAGTATATGTATTAACGCACTGTTTATTTATCTCTGATGAGATATATTAGATATAACAACAATTAACAACAAATAATAGAAGGAAACGTGCTAGGCTGGTTCGCATCTTGAAGCATTGTTTCAAACGAATATCTATAAAAAATTGAATCAAAGAGTCTTTCCAACTCTTTATCGCGTTGTATACATGGCCGAACGATTTTCATTTCAAGCGTTGCGTCGCATCGCGTCGCGTCGCCACACAAAACGTTGAATGAGATGTATCAATTCACTGATCGCTTCGTAATGTTCGTTGAAATCGTTCAGAGAAAGCATCATCCGCCTTTATGTAGGATTATAGGCCTTCTAATAAACTTTCGCACATATACTTAGGCGAATAGCCGTGAATACGTAAATGAAAATTGTATCGAGTGAAAAATTCGCGTGTAATCTAGTTACAAAAACTCGTAAAAAAACGGCTTTATATGGCTGCTTGGAATGTAACAGTAAAAAAGTGGAAAGAAGAAGAGAAGTACAATAGCTTATGAAAATATTCCCGTATTTCTAAATACCCAAATATTTCTAAATATTTTAAAATTTCATTAGTACGAAAGCCTAGTATCATCACACACTGTGTGTGTTAGTAAAGTCTGAAACGATTCTGAAAATGAACATAGAAGTTAAAAGATATTCAATGTAAGTATATATTTCGCAAAGATCACAGAAGTATTTAAACGGCTAATTACCTACCATATTAATAATGTATTTTATAATAATGTTTAAATTATAATTATAATAAGATAATATAATAATATTATTATAATAATATAATTATTATTGACATAAAATAATATAATATAAATTATATTATATTATATTATATTATATATTTGTTGCATACTAATTTTTTATTAAATGTTTGCAGTTATATATCTTGTATGTTATGTACATTTACCGACTGAGTTTAAATTTTACAGTGTTAATAAAATTTCAAAATATGTTATATAACACATATAATCTGTGAATGAAAGTTTTTTACGATAAATGTCCAGATACTTCCGTGAACCACTGCATGTAGCACGATCTCGTTCAAAACAATTGGATCGCCAATTCCAATAACATCGTAGCTCTTTGTATGATATCCGATACGTTGAAAGTTTTAACATGCTAACGTGCGTGTTAAACATTCAGGAATTTAGCGGAATCAGAATTTAGGCCAATAGAAAACAAGATTAAACTACTTACAGCGACAGAAAAAGAGAAGCGTGGTGCCAAGCAATTTAAAATTTAAATCAAATATAACCGTGCCAAAAGCATGATATTTCCTTCGCAGCTAAAGATTGATTTATTTTACAGAAATAACAACAACTCGTGTCAAATTTTTTTAACTTTAGTAACAGAGAAGCTGAATTCACCACATGATGGAATAGACGATGGAAAAAGATACCTCGATTTATTGTCGATTAAAAATTAACTAATTCTATAAAAAAAAACCTTTATCATAACATTCACAGCTTCATGACTTAATTAGGTATAATTCTCCTGCGGTATAATTAATTATAGACATGTGCACTTACAAGAATTGTGTACTTTTGTTTCAAAGAATTGAAATATTGGCAGAGATTAAAGATTCTAGCGTATGCTTTTGCTCTCCTGATGAAAGATAAACATAGGCAAGAATTATTTTTGTCACGACTTCTTCGATTGTTAGAAGAAAGATTTTATCAATTTCATTATTAGCGCAAAAAATTCATGGAAAGGACGAAGCATTTGTATATAAGTACAGTGTTAACAGTTGAATAATGTAATATTCAGCACCTAAATATGCGATGCTTCAATTAAAGTCGTTAGTTTGAAATTAACTGGCCCAATTTTTTATAATAATAATTATAGATGGAGATTTGATTTTACTTTGCCTGTAAATAATTTCAAATTAAACTTATTTAAATCCATTAAGAATCATGTTGTGAAATAATGCATAAAAGTTGCGTAAAGGAAAATTCTTAAAATGCGTAAATGGAGTAACTAAATTCTACAAAAATCAGATTTCTGATTCTTATAAATAGTAGATAAATTCTAGGAAAAACAGACAAGAAAAACATTAACATAATTTAAAAAAGATAGTTTATCGCATTTTTATGAATACTTCGTTTTTTACAACCTTCGTGAAATTGTTGGATCTAGGTGGAAAAGGAAATAATAGAAAACATATTAAGCAAATCTTTGGAATTCCCTTTCATAACCACAATGTTGAGAAATAGAATTCAATAATGTAAATTAACTGAAATATCGCGTTAGTTCAACTTCAATAATTAGATATCACCTGACTATTTCAGAAAATTGCACCTTTAATTAATCTATTAAATAGTCCTGTTCATAGTTATATTAATTTATACTATCCATTCCATTTCTGTCTTGCTTAATCCAAATATCTTATCTATCATTTCGAAACTGAAGGAAATTGACGTTTTATTATTTCTATCGCCATCTTTGTTTTTCTTTGTTTCGTGTACAATTTACATTTAGTAATTATTTCATAACGTCCTACATAACGTTACTTAAAAAGGTAAAAAAACTAGGGAACTTGAAGTATTTTAACACACATACATATGCATGTTTAGCTATTGGAAAACTGAATATATTTATGTATCTATATAGGAAATTTAAATAAATAGAAATGTACAAAATGCACGTATTATGCAGACATATACAAAATATGCAAAGCAAAGTATTCATTATAATTAATACTTGTAAGGAGAAATCTTTTTATGTTTCAGTTCCATTTCTTTAGTATTTTATATAATTTCTGTTTACAGAGGAATATAAATTTGCATAAATATTCGCAGCCTAATAATTTCATTCGTCTGTTATTATTCGTCTATGCTAGAAAACTAGAGAA